AATGTTAGTTTTGTTTATGGGAACCTATAATCTACAAGCTAAGCTTTTTAATAGGTTCCTCACATTTCACTCTGTATAACCTTATATTCATTACAATTATTTTCGACGTCTTTTCAAAGAATTAATTATATAATGTGACACTTTTAGCATATTTCATATTATGTTCTATTTTTGTCAATTTATATGTAAATTCTTTTTATTTGTGAAATGTGAAATAAACTTGAAACTTGAAACTTGAAACTTGAAACTTGAAACTTATGTTTCATTATAAATTTATCATAATTTCAGCATAATTTCAAAATGGAAGAAGGGTACAATATTGTGACTGGGGTAGGGACTAGAGTCAACAATTTGAACATGATTCATTATTTAGCCATGTCTTTAGCCATCGATCTGCTGGCGGGCAAGTAAACTATGAAACTCTTTAGGATAACAGAGGGGTGTGCTGGGTATAAGAGACGATATGAATTACTTTTGTAAAATTCCGAGTCTGTAGTGAGGGTACCCCCAACTTTCCCGGGTATATGAAAATGTTCGTGCAGAAATGCCATATCCCTTGATTCTGCCCCTTCTTTACTTTATGTCTGACTACACCCATCTGCATTGTCCTGAAAATAAATAAATGCAATAACTGCTTAGACCCCGATGGCAAATCATGCATTTTAACTGCATTATTTAAAAACTGTAAAAGTTTCTTGCAATCCTTCCCCCTAACATTCCTAACTTGAATAAAAGTATTACGAATACGAATGACAGGTGTTAATTTTAATGATAAAAATTACGCTTCGACAAGTGAATATTAATTTGAATGCTAGTTGAGCAGCTTCTAAATTGAATGACAGATCTATGAAACCCTTCGACCAAATTCCTAAATTAAAAACAAAAACTGAAAAATTGAATGATAATTGGCATGGCAAAGCCGATCTGCGCTAACTTAAATGCAAAGTAAATGAATTCGAATGACAAACACGCGAATTTGGCAGGGAAATCCTATATTAAAATGTGTGGGAGACATGGGGAATTTTTTTTTAGCGCCAAAGGTTCAGGGGTTTTGATGCAGCGGCAGAAATTCGACAGGGAGGGGGCATTATGCCCCCGGCCTTATTAGGGTTAAGGAAATCTTACTCCAGGAGATAACTTAAGGTATTCTGAGATATTTATTGTATTCTCGGCTTATAATCTACAAGATTCCAAACCAAAATGTACATTACGAGAGAGGTAGCAGAATTAGCAGAATGCAGTGTTTCTCAGCACGAATATATGTGTGTGCGTGTGTGTGAGGGAGTGAGAGTGGGATATATGTGCGTGATGGAATAAGAGAGCGAGAGAGAGAGAGAGAGAGAGAGAGAGAGGCCATGACTCATGAGTCGACATGAGGAAACAATTTTTGCCAAGTCAGACAAGGAAGGTAAATTAATCAGACTTTTTGATGCAGACGAAATTTACCCGGACACCGTAACAATCCCAGTTGCGTCAGAACAGATGTCTACTCCAGGGTCTTGGCGGAATGAAGACACGCTTATTTTCTGCACCGTTGTCTAGGTAACCGGTCTTCCAGGCTTCATAATCGAATGCAGATTGATCAGTTCATCTACAGGACGAGCCAGATCGCTGGAGACCAATCCACGTCCCCTGTCATGAAGATGATTGGACTATACTGGATGACACCACCTGCAATATAAAATAATATATTTGGACATCTCGCTATATAAATGACTTAAAGTATACACAAATTATACATTCCGCTACCTCCATACCCGAATATGAGGACTTGCAGGCATCACCTTGCACGGGATTATCCTTTTCCTGAACAGCGAGTTTAGCCAAAGGGAAAAAAGACACTCTCATCATTGGATTTTTATATAGATATAATGGATAATTTTTAATGGATATATATTCGAGTACTCTTCTGCTAAAACAGGCCTGAAATCATCCCGATTCTAAATTCTGAGACAGAGCGAAGCGAGCGAGTAAATAAGACACTAACTTTATTGTCTATAAAATGTTATTTCCTTATCAAACACACACTTTCGGGTTTGCTGACGCCCGAATATGACTATCGTTGAGCACCGGTAGCCGAAAAACGCTGGTCCAAGGCATTTCAACATGGCGTCCCATATGCGTTACTAAGAAAATTAGATCTTAAAGGGCAAGTCCACTCCAAAAATAAATTACTTTCAATAGAAGCAGAAAAATCAGAAAAATCAATAAATAAAAATTGAGCAAAAATCGGATATCTAATAAGAATGTTATGAATTTTGGAAAAATTCTGTAAAACTATGGAACAATGAAAATCACAAGACAACTTGGAAATTCACTCATGAGTCTGTGACGTCATGTCCTCACTATCCACTAATTGTTTTTTTTATATTGATGATATAAATTTCCTTTCCCCCCCTAAATCATGAAAAATAAGACTTTTGATAAACTATTTAGATAAAAATAAATAATTATGAATAGACTAGACAATATTCAGAAAATTCATACAAGATTTTGTGCAATGTCATGTACGCAATATGATACAAATCATAAAACCTGAGCAAAGGCATGGGGAAATCAAGTTTTTGAGGATAAAAATAGAAATTAAAGGGATTAGACTATATAAAGCAATCGATAAATAGTGAGGACATGACGTCACAAACTGATGATCAAATTGGCAATTTGTGTAGGGATTTCCATATAGTTTTACATACTTTTTCAAAAATTCATAACTTTCTTATAAGTTATCTGATTTTGCTCAAACTTTTTTAGATTGGTTCGGCTGATTTTTCTGCTTCTATTGAAAGTAATTTATTATTGAAATGGACTTGTACTTTAACGGCATATAGATTTTTTAAACAAATAATTCAGAATTGTTCGTCAACGGATGGAACAAAATATAACTTTGACTGGCCTCACTATTCCTCACCGTGCTTCTTAACATACATCGTCACAATGGACACTTTGTTTGATTTTTCAATGTTTTTTTTTCAGTCTAAGATGTACATTGAGACCACCGGAGGAGACAAATATCCACACCTAAGCATTTCCTTTACCATGCCAAATTGCTGATAACTTCTGCCAGGTTATAATATTATATTATGGGTTTTATATGCAGGTTTTTAATCTTTTAATGTACACTTCAGCCTAATGGCTACAATACGGGTCAGTATGTCTCAGAAAGGGTACAAATTCGTTAATCAACTTTAATGCGGATTTTAATTTTTTTTTAATCAGGTGCTCTATTATCCTTAATATCACCAACACAATTGTCTCATTCGTTTCCCAGTTTAACGGTAAAGTTTGAATATTTTACATTAACTGAAGGATTTTTCGGAACTCTCCCTGACTATCTAGCTTCAGCTATAACAATGTTTCATTTGTACAAAGAAGCGGCGTACATTTCCCCGTTTTGCATAAATGAATAAATGTAAGAACGAAACGTGATGACTTGTTTTTTTAAAGCCTGATATTAATGATGTGCAAGGCCTCAGTGACCACGGTAACTACAAGCATTTACCAATCAACTAAGTGGAAAACACCATTATAAAACATGTCACAGTTGAGCAAATGCGCTAACCTTGAATTATGAAAGACATTTAACAAAACAGCCTGTTGTTATTCTTACCATGTAAAATTGTATTGTACAAAATGAAAAGGGGAATACAATGATGTAGGATTTAGAAAATGATTCCTGATTATGTACTAATGTCATTGCCCTGTTTGAAAGTTTTGAAATTTGGCACGGAAGGCTATTGAAATGGATACTTCGTTGTCCGGATGTTCTTGTGGTTTTTGGAGCAGGTGTATGTTCCTATACTTAAGGAAGAATGATTTTCTCATGTTTTTACAAGTTTTCTTCTATTGTTGGTTTAACCTGAACTATTCCTCGTTTACACAAATGACGAAAATTCTCTTTATTGTTCTTTTTATATCTCATCCATTTTCCTCCAACTTCTTCTTTCCTTCCCTCTATTTCACCAACTCTCTCACCAATAAATCCTTCGAATCTCTTTTCAAATTCTCTTCATCTATTAGTTAGATCTTAGGTGCAACCAAAACTTAATGTTGGATTTTAAATAAAAATCCTAAATCTAAGATCTAAAATTTTGCAGGTCATATTTTGCTCCTATTGCTTCTCTCTCTACTTTACCAAAGGTACTATGTCCCATTTGCAGGCCTAAAAAAAGAAAAGGTTAAATTCCAATGGCATTTGAAAGATAATACTGATTTAGAATTTCCGTTAAAACGAAAGGGCTGGAAATGTCTTTTGGTGGAAAAATAACGACGATTTGTTGTCAAATCGACCAAAGGGATTGGTATTATTAATGTAAATAGTCTGATCTTCAGATTCTCCTACGGAAAAGTCATATGTTTCGTGCTGCGCAAAGATTCAATCAGTTTGATTTTGGCCATTACAAGAATTCGGTTATTAATATAGATAAATGCTGCATGTACTTGATACAGCTCATTTTACGTAGTTTATTACCAAAGTAAAAAAAAGAAGTCAGTCAGTCACTCAATAATGTCTGACAGTGAAGTTTATGAAGTAAACGGGTTTCCTTGCATAGTTGACTACTGGGTCGTTGCTAACGTCTAAATTCACAAGTAGACATACATGACATATTCATGATTCCTGCAATGTTCTACATAAATTGATGTTCATAAATGACGAAATTTCTCTTCGACGTTCTTGTTATGTCTCATCCACTCTTCCTCGATCTTTTCTTCAGTTTCTTTTCTCTTTTTTCACGAACTCTCTCACCCACAACATCTCCCCATCCTCTTTCCAATTCTCTTCATCTATTATCATTATTTATTTTTCGCAACTAAAAATTAAGGTTGGATTCCAAATAAAAATCTGAAATCTAAGATCTAAAATCTCTCAGGTCACAATTTGCTTTCATTTTCACTCCCTAAGTCTTTCTACTTTATTAATCACCAATGTTTTCCCCTCACCTATGCTCACTAATCGTTCTCATCTCCCTACGAGTCAAACAAAAACTCTTAATCTCTGTCACTAACCTCATCTCTCTGTGATTTTATTCCGATATGTCATAATGCTTTACATTGATATAAAACGTAATTTTGATGAAAAAGATTTATCTTGGTTAAAATACAGGCGCTATTGGTATAGATAAAACTACAAAAATACCTACACACCTCAAGGATATGATTTTTGCTATACAAATATAATTTGTTGAAAGGTATTCAAAAGATTGATATAACAAGTCATTTAAACTTCAATATCTCCTAAGGAATATTGTGCACTGCTCATACCTTCGTAGTTTTATATCGTGAAATATTATATAATAAATTCACTATTTGAACATCTTATACTGTACTTTTAAATATAGGTCCCTTAAAATCGATTAACAGAAAATAAAAGCAGGCTTTTTACAGTGAAAAGAACTGTCTTTGGAAATATGAAGAAATTAAATAAAAATAAACACAGGTACTACGTTAAAGCAGGAAGCTTTAATGGTTAAAGGAAACCTATCCCTGGGAAATAACTTAAGATATTTATTGTATTCTTGCCTACTAATCTATAAGATTTCCAACCAAAGTGTATGAGAGAAGTATAAACTTAGCAAAATGCAAAGTTTCTCAGCACGACATGGGCATGCATCTCCCTTTTTTGATAACGTGACGTAAGATGCGAAGTCCTTTATCAAGTTATTATATTCACATTTTGTGCATACTTTCAAACATAGGTTGTTCTTGACAACCTGAAAACTTGCCCCACGTTTGCCCGACATAGCAATAAATAAGATATGCCGACTGTATTCCGAGTATTTAAGTTCATTCATTATTAATTCCAAGTACTTAATGGAGTTACTCGTCACTAGGTCCCAAGGAAAGAAACATCCTACATCCATACGACGAATGCTAAATATAAGCTACCAACTATCTTCTTTTTTAAAGTTGTTAAAAGAATTGTGAGGGATAAAAAGGAAATAAATTTTCTACTACTTTTAGTATTTGTTTTTACACTTCTTCAGACGTATACAACGCATGCGCAAGACGGATATGTATTATTAATGGTAATATCGATATGAAACCCAATTATGATCATATAAGTGATGAAACAAGTTCAAAAAGCCTCTTACAAGCACACACCAACAAAATATTATCGGCCAATGACTATTCTATTTTTTTTTCTCCCTTCACTTGGGGAGGGTGAGGGGCACGTGTCCCCGGTGCCCAATGAATCAACCATTGGCTCTTATGAACGATTGCAATGACCAAATGCGAATTTGATTAAACCCATCTTGTTGACATGTTTACTCTTACTATATTGAGTATATCACGACTTGAAAAAGTGTCCTTGGCATATAGGCCAGTTTTGGGATATAATCTGCACATTGGCATATGAATGTCATTTTTACCAAAAATGTTAAACCTATTGATTAAAGTTCTGTATTTATCAAACGTTTATGCACCGATGACAATTTCTATGGAACACTGTTGGAATTATTATTCTCAATACAGCAAACATAAGATATTCATGATGTACATTTATGACTTTGACAGTGATTATACTAAAATGCACGAAAGGAATACTACTAAAAGATCTATAGAAATTTGGAGTCATCTCATGTAGTAACAACTACGAAGTGGTCTATTTTGTGGAGTGGCTTCGTTTTCAATACAATTATTTTGAAAAGAAATAAATGACACAGAAATCCTTCCGTAAAATTACTATAAAATTCGATAGAATTATTGTGTCGAAATCGTTTGGTAGACATCACAATCTGTCGGGATTTCGAATTTCTTCCGAAAAAAGTGTAGAAATTTAATGCAAGAACCCTAAGCCTCCTCACCAAATTATAATGTAGAACCGCTCATGCCCTTGTACACAATTTTTACATTAATAGTATGGTGAGGTCCGACTATTTAACCCATCCTTTAAGCCTTGTAACCTCCCCATTCCCTGCCAGTCTCCCCTTCACCCCGGGCCTCTGACCTACTTCCTACCAGCACATAGTGAAATGCAGCCAATCAACGGTGTAGAGCTTTGTGGGTAACTGCTAAAACGGAAAGGACGTGTTGTTACTGCATTTCTTCCGCGTTTAAGCTCAACACAGACCTTGGCCTCGTCGCAGTTAAAAGTGGGAGCAACGAACGGATACACGACGTCCCGAAAGATGAATTGATCTCCTTCGATGTAGCTCTGCGATGCTTGATCATCATTGAGAACTTGCTCGGTGTAACCTATTGTGTGACTGATAGTGACCAAAGTGAATGCAAAATGAACAGTTCACATATTGACTTGTATTACTGTTCTATGAGATGGTTGCATGCATCTATTGTCTTGATTTCCGCGAGGGTTACAGTGATAAACTTCGCATTTCCCATCTCAGGCTCGAGTGACTTTAAGCTATCAACAATTAATTAATAAACAAATAAATTAATTTATAATATATAAATGAATAGATGAATAAATAGATGAGTTAACTAGTGATTTAATCAATAAAGATATTAATGAATTCAATAAATAAACTAACTAAACAAATAATCACCTTCATTTCCGAATATCTGTCCTTATAACTCGATTCAATTCGGGTTTTACTCATGAAACCCTTTTTGTTAAAGTATGATACACGATTGTAGTCCAAATAGTTAAAATACCATGTTTACAATACAGAATGGATAACATAAAAAGATATTGGTAAACAATGAACTTCAAATTCATGAATAAAGTGTTGATGAGCCAATTTAAAAGATAATAAAATATAGGGGAATATTTAAGAATAATAATAATAATAAAATTAAAAATAATAGTGAGCAGTTGTGCGGAAACTGTTTAATTGTGAGCGTACGTCTATCAAGTAATTCAAGAACAAAAGCAAAATACATACAATTTTAAATTTAACATACTTCAGGACATAATTTTGCAATAATATATTTAAAACATCATTTTGAACATGATAGCAAAGTTTTATACGCATAGTATACAGGTATGTTGTTGCTAATAGACAATTAAAGGCAAATTACATTAATTTAAAAAAAGAAAGAATTTGGCGCAGGTTGTATGACTCTTTATCTGTTTCTGTAAGAATGTCGCAAGCACATACCTGTGAGTAGGATTTACAGGAGCAATCCAGGCAGACAACTGCCAGAGAGATTCGCCTATCACTCCTGTCGTACTACTGGTATATCTAAATATGACGTCTACCGCAAGAACCAGTGTTGTGTGACCGTTAGTTGTCACGTTACTTTGTATGGTGGGTTTGACTTTACGCACGGTCACGTCTGGTATGAATCAGAATTTAAGAAATAGATTTGATGACTAGTTTATAATTATCATTATACGAAAAAAGAGGGGGGGGGGGGTGGTGAATAAACGTTTGATGCTGAAAAATTTGAGTTTGGCATGTTTGATTAGAATGAGTCACAGTATTCAGTTTTATATGCCTGTTGCAGAAGAGGTGTCATTAGTGACGTAATACTGCGCAATTTGCGTGGTGTTGGGGTAAGCAATTTTAGACAGACAAAATAGACAGAACGCCAATGGCATTTGATAAATGGTCTTTGGCTAATTGCTTTCACCAGTTTGATTAACCTCAGTAATAACGCAGTTGAAATGACGACACGTGTGCAACGGGAAAGTTAGAAATTTGGAGAACATACAACATATTATTAATACGCATCACTTCGAGAAAAAAGAGGATGTAAACTTGAAAAAAGAGGTCAACGAAAAGAAGAGAAAATAGCAGAAAAATAAGCAGATATATAAACAGCAAAGTAGAAAAAGGAGCTAGATAAAAGCACAAAGGTGAAAAGCAATATGTTCGTGTTCCCATCCACCCCCCCCTCCCCCTCGGATCAACTTGGAAACCCCAAATTTGTAACACATTAATAGTTGAAGAGTCCCGGAATCAGGAAATCTTGCAAATTTAAGTAAATTAAATCCTGCATCCATTAAATATTGGGGTTTGTTTTACGTATTGAAGAAGGGAATTCGTGACCCAGTCCCACATAGGTGTGGTCCTATAAGAGGGCGGGTGGGTTTGGGAGGCTATCAGGAGACTTACCGTACGGGCAGATATAGCAGCAGTCTCCTGGCGGTCTAACGGGTTCGACGCAGAAAATCCCATATTTTCTACTCGAACAAGTTTCAATAGCGCAACTAATAGTGCCGTTTGTACATGTGCAGGTCATGCATTCGTGAACGTCCCACACTTCGGAGTGCAGATACGGCACTCCAAGATAATAACAAGTTGAAAGGAGTCCTGAAGAAAAGCTGCTCTCTGAAAGAGAATCTGAATTGGAATCTGCATCGAAATGAATAGAAATCATGAGAAGTGTCACATTATGGTAATCAAAGGGAGGGGTTGTTTTCAACGTTCAACGTTTTATTTGTATAAGCTGAGCAAGTTTTAATTGTCTAATCTATATAAATGGTTTAAATTTTCCAATAATTGGAGTACTTTACCACAATTTGTTTAATTCATTTAAATGTAAAAAATAAAAGGAAGAAAAACAAGAAGAAATTGTGAAAGTTCACTGTAAATAAATGCACTTTAGCAATATCAAGTTTCTACTTTGCGAAACATTTTAGACGTATACACAATATAAATATAATAAAAATGTTGAAATTAAATTAAACAAAACTGATAAAACACTTTCAAGTATTATTCATTAATAAATATGTAGAAGAAGAAGAAGGGAAACCATAATAAGCGTTTGCTTGATAACGTAATAGCCTGGGAAGTTGTGGATGATTAAAAGAATAACGAAAACTAATGGTGGTAATGATTATGATGATGATGATAATAATGATGTAAATGATAGTGGTGATGAAAATTTAAATATATTGATGTATATATTTCTGACACAGACAAAGTATAAAAGTATACGGGAGTTATAACATATAATGATGGATGTTTATAGAAATCTGGAAATAATATTAAATATTTACTCAGCATTGAGAAAAGATCGAACAATGTACTATCGCAGAAGTGCTTTCTTCTTATTGAATTCAAATGAATTTAAGATTTTCCATGATTTTATTGGGTCAGGGAGTGCATTCCATAGATCTGGACCATGTCTAATTGATTTATGCAGGATCAATAATTTAGGATTTATCAAATGAAAGTTTTATGAATTTCGAGTAGGGTAAGAATGAGATAATATTAAAACAATTCTTAGATGAATCAGGTAACACAAGGACCAGCACATATTCCAAGCGCCATTTCTTCTTTTGCAATGAATAAATAGGGTTTATTTTTGTCTTTGCCCTTGAAACCCACACCAAGTTTTAAAATGAAATGATTTGTCTCATAAAGTATACCATTATTCCTAAAACTACATGTAATTTAATGTCGTATGTGTAAATTCCAGATAAGATTTTCATCAATAAGAATACCTAATTTTTATGTACATTTCTTAGGTTCTAAGGGTTTATCATTAATTACAGTATTATATGCACAATTTGGGGTTTAAAGTGTATGAGGCTCGTTTATTAATATTGAGAGATAGTTTATTACTTTTAAACCAGTTAGATACCTTTGGTAATTCTAAATTAAGTATTCGAATAAAGGCATCCACATTCTCGTGAGAGTAAAAAATGTCCGTGCCGTCAGCAAAAAGTGTAAACGATAAATAGGGTGGTGCATTGGTAATATCATTAACATACAATAAATAAAAGACGAGGACCTAATATTTATCATTGTTGGGACTCCACAATTACAATTACAAGATATTCCGATTAATTCCGATGATTGTTTGATGGTGTATTTCTACCTGACTGCTAACAAGCATGTCATAAAAATCTTTTGAATTCGTAACGGCCATCGAGGCCCTTCTCGAAGAGAGGAGCAATATTCGTCCAAAATTCACCTCCGCATATTTCCCTTATTTTGGCTTTCAAGCTCACGAACATTTCACACCACATACAAAATGATAATATCATTGTACAAATAAATTTTCATTAAAACATATAAGGTATTGTCAAATATATATGCATTTTTTCTGTTTCAGAGGTCGGCGAATCTGGGCTCGCTTGCGTTTGAAAAAATAAGACGCAATATGAACCGATGGGACTTGCTAATGAGCATTCCAAACCTTACCAAAGGGAACTTGCTCAGTGACTTTGAACCTTGAACTTCCCGGTTACGAGGCCGCTGCTTTACCACTTGGTCATCACACCTCCACGAGGTTAGATATTGAAGATAACAAGTAGATATTAATAAACGATGAATTAAATAGCACTGTGATCTAATAACCATGACAAGTATACTAGCTGTATAATATAGTTATGAAAGACTTACCTTGAGAAGAGGCATGATGCACCACGAGCATCAGACTTACACATACAAGACAGACGAGGTACCAAGAACGATTCATCATAATTTAGAGTGTTGTGACAGCCCAAATAGACTAAATGATTAAATAGACATATCGCCTGCTTTTATATTCATGAAGTTTCCTTGATAAACTTTCTTTCCCAAAATACCTTCTAAGAACAATGACCAGAAATGAATAAGGTACCTTAAAGGCATAATCCAGACGTAAACAGACTAACCATGAAGAAACAAGTCATGAATAAGATTAAAATAAAAACCGCTTCATGGGAAATTTCACTACCCTCTTATAATGTATATAGAGATCGGTTTATGATCATGGAATAGTGTCATTGTCATGTTTTAACATTTCAACACTTGTTTTGAAAGGCTATTGGCATTTCAAAAGATTGGTTTTTGAAAGGCTTTGAGTTAATTTTGAGCTTTACATGTAAGTATCCTGTTTATTTAAACATATTTGTGGCTTACACCCAGTAAATAAGATCGATTGATCGATTGATCGATCTGTATTGACAAACAAGTCAGAAAATTTGTTTGGACCAGCCATCACTGGTCCATGGCACAGTCACGATGAACTGGAAACAAATACCCAAGCTCTCCCGACTTGTTTTTCAATACAGATCGATCAATCGATCTCATTTACTAGGTGTAAGCCACAAATATGTCTAAATAATTGATATTTCTCCCAGAAAGCATTACATTTATAAAAGTATCATGTTGTTGTTGTTGTTTGTGTAGTCCGTGATCAAAGCTTTTGAAGTTACATGTATCACAATTTCTTACAGTGCCGATGCGTTATATATACATTTACAGCTGATGGTTAATGGCGCTGAATACCTTTAACATTATTCTGTATTATGAAAAATGAATCAATGACTCAAGGAAATTGGTATCTCCGTGTCCGGATGTTCCTGTTGATCTTGGAGCAAGAGTATGTCCCTATTTTTAAGGAAATATTATTTTCTGATGTTTTTACAAGTTTTCTTCTATTGTTGGTGTAACCTGAACTATTACTCGTTTATATAAATGACGATAAACTCTTTGAACCACATAAATCTCTCCATTCTTTTCATCTATTATCATTATTTCTTTACTGCAACCAAAAGTTAAAGTTGGATTTCAAATAAAAGTCTATCAATCTCTTGCCAAATATATGTCAATTACCTCATCTCTCTCTGTCATTTTTTATTCCTATATATCTTAATATACACACTAAGAAAAAATGGTGCAAGTATGCACCTATAGGGGTGCAAAACGATGCAACACTGGCAGCACCTTTAGGGGTTAAATCCTGCACCCTGTTTAAAGGTGCAATCCTGCACCCTTTAAAAGGGTGCCAGATTGAACCTTTTAGGGGATATTTTAGTACCTTTATGGTTCAATCCTGCTCCATAAGGGGTGCAAACCGATGGAATAGCAGCACTTGCATCCTTTAAAAGGTGCACTCCTGCATCCATAACCGGGACCCATACTCGAGGAATGCTTGTGAAATATGCTAGTACACAAATGCATATTAAACATGCCTGTTGTTTCTTGGTTAGTAATCATATAATCAATATATCTATTGCTAAAACGTGAATGTAATGCTTAACAAATCATGATAAATGTATTTTTATGTGAACACAGTCATGTTAAGTAATCATGATTATACATGCAATATGCAAACTTTTATTTTGCACCCTTTTTTGGTCGATAGGGTTCATTTTTGTGGGAAGGGTGCAAACTCTTATTTTGCACCCTTTGTTGCACTCTTTTTTCTTAGAGTGTAGCTATATCGACTGCTATGAGAGGCCTGGCTGTTATATAGGCTCAAGGGGACGTCAGCTAGACCTCAAATATTAAAGCAGTCGATAATGTCTTTTATATACCGAATTGACACAAAAATCTACCAAGAATTTTTACCTTATCCTTTTCTTGAGTCAGGATTGGGTAAAACATCACAGAAAATCTGAGACACTGTCTGTTAATCTTCGCTGGAATGATGACTGAATGTTACAATCATTTAGGAATCGCAGAAAAAAGCACTGCATGGTATCCGCGCTCGCACAAAGTAAGTATTAACACGTAAACCAATTGGGATCTCATCAAAATGTTACTATTTTCCCGGTACCCGGAATCTTTAGGGAATCTCACTCAAGAACTATTAATTGTTACTGGCATTGTTCATTTCTTTACGGGAATGGCTAAAATCAAGACTATAATTTCGACCAATCAGATGGCTAGATTTCTAAAAAGAGGTAGATAATGTATAGGGTATTTGTAAAGATCAAAACAACAAGATATTATAATACAATCATGTTGAGAAATATATAATACCTATACCTTGATAGTATCATGTCTACATTAAAAACGTAATTTTGTTTGAATATATTCACAAAATTAAAACGACAACTCTTTTGTATTACAATCTCTATTATGGAATATTGTGAACTCCTCATACCTCCCTAGTTTATTTCGTGAAATATAAAAACCAAAAAACAAATGTGGTTCATATAACACAGCCCCAAATTGAATGAATCTATTCATAGAGACACAAATATTGAAGGCAACGTTTATTAACAATGCGATCATAAATACAAACATACCAACTGTCATCTCTATACAGTCATGTTGACAACTATGTGCTAGCAATAAGATATTTACCAGCTGCAACAAAATAATATCCAAACTCCCAATCTTTAGGAAATACCCCTCCTGAAACAGATATTTTAGATCGGAATTGATAAATATATGATTCATGGCAAAATCCATAGGTATCCGTATGTACTACGTTTAAGGAAATCTCACTTGGGGCTATTTTCGAATGCAGATATATTTCAATGTACATCAAGTTATGCTTGTTTAATGTATTGGAAATGTAATGAAGTTTTACCCAATATTAATTCAACTTTCAAAACAACATTTGAATGGAATTCTAATTTTTCTTCTTCATATCTCCTTATCCCCCTTAAGGATTTTTTGTTAGAAACTAAATTATCGGTGTTTATTGTGAAAGTCATATCTATTCAACTCATTTCAGAGGAAAAAAAGGAGAGCGATCGAAAAGCCTATTTATTTTGTTCATTCTTCACCTATCTAAAATATCTCATGATAATAATGAAATGGAAGATTGTATTACGAGCCTGTAAAAACACTAAAGAGTTTCTAAGACAACTTAGTAGCCTATAATTTATTATAGATAGATAGGAGGGGAGAGGGATAGGGGAGAATATGTATGTGTGTGTGTGTGTGTGTATGTGTGTTTGTGAAGGAGTGAAAGTGGGATGTATCAGTGTGCGTGCGGGAAGAACAGAGGGAGAGAGAGAGAGAGAGAGAGAGAGAAACGGAGAGAGAACGAGGCCATGACTCATGAGTTGTAATGAGGAAATATTTTTGCCAAGTCAGACAAGGAAGGAAAATTAATCAGACTTTTTGATGCAGACGAAATTTACCCGTACACCGTAACAATCCAAGTTGCGTCGAAACAGATGCCTACTCCAGGGTCTTGGCGGAATGAAGACACACTTTTTTTCTGCATCGTTGTCTGGGTAACTAGACTTCCTGGCAGTGGCGGATCCAGGGGGAGGGGGGGGGGCCTAAATTTTGAAATTCGCGACGACCGGGGGGTGGGGGGGGGGGGGGGGTAATAGCACTTTTTTTCTTTATTTTTGCCCCCGGGAATTCGTAAATTGCGGAGACCGTTTTTCGCTCAGTCGGGGGTAGTGTGAGCACTAACTACAACAAATTATATACAAACCCTTCTTTATAATTATAAACAAACAAACAGTCCAGGGGGGGGGGGGGGTCGGGCCCGTCGCCCTCCCCCACGTGGATCCGCTCCTGCTTCCAGGCATCATAGTCGAATGCAGATTGATCAGTCCATCTCCAAGACGAGCCAGATCGCTGGAAACCAATCCACGATCTCTGTCATGAAGATGATGGAAATATACTTTTCATGATTTGATATCAAGAGGCGAGTAGGTCCGCGAGTTTGGGGAGAGGGGGCGGTGGGCACAGGGGGCATGTGCGATCCGATAAACAAAATTTGGAGAAAGGAGAAAAACGAATAATGCATCCATCACCTTCATTATTTTTTCATTTTATTTGAGTTTTTATTCATTCATTCCTTCATTCAAAGCATTAATTCCAGCCATGTTCCCATTTACATCACCTGGGTCGAGGGTGGCAATATGTAGATCAATGTATTGCTGAAGGACATAAATGCCGCGCCGGTACTCTAAACCTACTCTATCCTGCCGACCACTATACCTTTATGTTAATACCTGATAACTTGTTATTAATATTATTTTAATCATTCTTATTACAATCATCATTATCAAAAGAAATACATAATGTAATGCTGTTTATTACTGTGCAAAAAAACACAAAGGAAGAGGTAAAGACACAAGTTAAATACTAGTGATATGCCATGATGTTTTTATTTATTTAACATAACAACCTTGAATGAGATAATAATTGTCCCTAATTAACATGAATGGAAAGGGCAATGCAATTGAAATACAATAAAGAATGCATTGTTGTGCAAATTGCTTATCAATATTAAGCCTCAAGATATATAGGAATAAAATGACAAGGAGAGAGAGAGAGATGAGGCAATTGACAGATATTTGGCAAGAGATTGATAGTTTATGTTGGACTCATAGGGGGGGGGGGAAATAGTAAACAGACTTTTATTTGAAATCCAACTTTAACTTTTGTTTGCAGTAAAGAAATAATTATAATAGGTTAAGAGAATGGAGAGATTTATGTGGTTCAAAGAGTTTATCGTCATTTATATAAACGAGTAATAGTTCAGGTTAAACCAACAATAGAAGAAAACTTGTACAAACATCAGAAAATAATATTTCCTTATTTATAGGAGCATACACCTGTTCCAAAATCCACAAGGAACATCCGGACAACGAGATACCAATTTCCTTGAGTTATTGATTCATTTGCCCTATAACAGAATAATATTAAAGGTATGTTACGTCATTAATCGTCCGCTGTAAATGTAAATAGACGTCGGAATCGTAAGATAATGTAATACATGTAAAATCAAAAGCTATGATCAATGACTACATAAACAACAATAACAACAGAAAACTTACATTGTTCAAACTCAAACTATCGCAAAGCCTTTCAAAACCAATCTTTTGCAATGTCAATAGGATTTTCGAACCAAGTGTTGAAATGTTAAAACATGACAATGACACTATTACATGATCATAAACCGTTCTCTTTATACATTATAAGAGGGTAGTGAAATTGCCCATATTGTTCACGATCATTAAAAGTTACCATCTCTAGCGGTTCTTATTTTAATCTTATTCACGACTTGTTTCTTCATGGTTAGTCTTTTTTACGTCTGGATTATGCCTTTAAGCTACCTTATTCATTTCTGGTCATTGTTCTTCGAAGGTATTTTGGGAAAGAAAGTTTATCAAGGAAACTTCATGAATATAAAAGTAGGCGATCTGTCTATTTAAACCTTCAGTATCTCTGGGCTTTAATCAATTGTTGTCAAAACACTCCAAATGATGATGAATCGTTCTTGGTACCTTGCTTGTCTTGTATTTGGAAGTCTGGTGCTCGTGGTGCATCATGTCTCTTCCCAAGGTAAGTCTTTCAAAACTATATTATACAGATAGTATAGTTGTCATGGTTATTATAACACAGTGCTATTTAATTCATCGTTCATCGATATCTACTTCAGATATTATCTTCATTACTTAACCTCGTGGAGTGGTGTAGGCTAAGTGGTAGAGCAGTGTTGTCGTAACCGGGAGATCAATGGTTCGAAGCCAAGTCACTGAGTATAGTTAATAAAGATTAACGTTTTCAAGGTCATTTTCACGTTTTACAATATTGGACAGGTGATTACGTAATGAAGATGACGATACATCGTATTTACGTCAACAAAACGAAAGTAGGGCAACTCATGCACTAACTAACGGTCTTCATAAGAAGTCTGTACGACATTCCGTTGTTGAGATATGATGGTCGAAAAACATGCATGAAAAACAACAAAATAGCGCCTGTAAGGTCACGTGACCACTTTTTCGAAAAAAATATCGACGTTATGATTTGGACTTAAACATCTTGTTATAAAATTGTATTGATTTAGCTCTTTTCACTATTGAGATATTTGCCGAACAAGTTTGCATAAAAGAATGAAAATGAATAAATAATATTAATAAAGAAGATAGAAGAACCTTGACGAAATTAAGCGGTGATCCTATGGATCGCTACGCGACGGATCACTTTATAATAATCTTCTGGAACCGCTCTTGAAACTTTTGTGTAAAGATAAAAGTATTATCGTGTAACCATAAGAAAGTAAGAACCTTTACGCCAACCCTCAATGTATATTCAGGAAGCGAGGTGGTATATATATACATATATATATATATATGTACAATTTCATGATTTATCGATAAACTTACCCCCCTCCCCCACCCCACTCTTGCCAACAGTTATATACACCGCTATGTACTTGGGAGTCAGGAGGCATACTATTCCAATCGTTCATAATATGTGTAACTTAGAAGAAAATGTTTATTAACAAACTTTAGGATATATATTACGATATAGGCAGGATAGACAGCATTCGCCTTCAAGTCTCACAGGCCTGTTGCAAGCAGGATCGGGGTATTCCTTTGTAGAACACGCAGCTGTTCCAAGTTGTTACAAGTACATTGTGTACACGGGTCTCGTTGCCAGACATCTTCGTGCAAAAAAAAAAAAAAATTGATAGCAACGATTTATAAATGTTGCTGAAATCGAATGATTTTTTTCTCATGAGCTTCCGGTTGCTCTACACCGTGGACCCCACCAAGGGACCCCTGGTCACTTTTCTGACCTTAATTGAATGCCTAAAACCGCTGAGCTTTCGAGGGCTCCGCCACTTGGACCCCACCAGGGCCCTAAAGCAGGCCCTGGATGCTCATCTGACCAAAATTAACTTCCTAAAACCCCTGAGCTTCCGTGGGCTCTGCCCCCTAGATCCCCGGCAAAGGGCCCTAAGGCGGGGCCCTGGATGCTCATCTGATCTTTATGTTATGCCTAAAACCTCTGAGTTTCATGGGGCTCCTCAATTTTGCCCATGGACCCCATTTATTTATGCTCCACTTGCTTTGCTCTCTTTGCTCTACCTGATCTTAAATACTCTAGCCCCCCCCCCACTTTGAAAAACGTTCCGCGGGGCCTGCATGTAACATTAAAGAGTGGTGGTGATGCGTATTTTTTTTGCCCCCCCTCCCCCTCAAAAAAAAAAATCGCCCTGATTCATACACTTTAAAAGAAAAAATGACTAAATGTGTTGGAAAAAATGGCACAGTTTTTTGCCGGTACATCACAGAGATATTACCGACTCAGCAAACTTTAAAATCTCATACCTATAGTCATATAAAAACTTCGAAAATCCTTTCTCATCTTTTCTCCGATTTCATTCAACTTTCACCAGTCGGCTTCCTTGATTTTTCTGCTTTCTTTTAGAGAAGTTTGCCATCAAAGTTGGATTTCCCTTTAACCAAACCTTTTAACCACAGTGTGTGCATTTAAATTTAAATTCGATATTGGATGGAGCGAAATATTAAATCAAAATCTTACGACTGATAGCATGCTGTATTAATTGATGTACCGATTATAATTCATTATTGTTTACATTATTACAACGAAATCTTACTTAATCTAGCCTGCATCGTAACGTAGTATCTAAAATACCTCTTCGTGTATACGTCTTAGAACTTAGGATGCATTAATTTTTTGGACAAAAATAAGGAGGACATTTAATGAATTTGTCCACCGAAACCCATACAACTGTATGCGAATTAAAATTTAGCTGTTCTCTGAAGATTTCAATGGTTAGTGATTATTTACGGGAAAACTACACGCTATAGACTTCATCCTTCAACTTTTGTGATCTGCTCACAATCTTCTTTACCAGTCCTTCCTTCCGTCCTTTCCTTTCCTCTCCTACTCCAGTTTCACCTAATTGTTGGTGTAGGAACAACGAAAAAAGTAGTCTCGTATGAATTTCATTCAACGTTAAAGGTACTGTATCTCATTTGCAGCCAACATCAAATTCTGTAGAATGAAAAAAAATTATTCCATTATCATCTCTTTCCTTTCATTTCCATAATTCCTCTAAAAGCCCTATGAGCGGGTTCTATTGACGAAAGAATATTTTAACAGCCTTTTCCACTTTTGATCCTCCCACCGCAAAATGAATATATTCATACGTCTACTCGCGTACACTGGTAGGGAAATTGGTTCAAAGTATCCATTTCCAGCGCATATTTACCCAGTATTTTTTATTGGGAAAATATTTATTTTATATATTTTAATCATGTACATGAATCAAAATTTGATATTTAGGTGATACGTACGTAGACGTATCACCTTTTGATTTCGTCAAGATTTTTATTATTTATTTATTTATTTATTTATTTATTATTATTCTTCCTCGATTTTGTTCGCAGGATATCTCAAGACTGAATAAAGCCATTGTCATGAAACTTTCAATGATGATAGATCTTAGTCTAACTTAGAACTGCGTGACTTTTCAAAGACTCAAAATTATCGTGAAGTCATCTAGACGCCATTTTGTTAAAATCAACTTATGATCATATCTTCATAACGGAAAGCCATTTCTCATTCATATTTGTCATGATCAAGGTCAATCTCCGTCCGGTCAATTTGAGGTCAATATATGCGCGTAAAAATGCGCGTACGCGTAGGTGCGCGCGTTAAAGCGCGCTAAAAAAATTAAAATGCTCCAAATCATCCCAAATTTTTTTTGCATACGTTTCAGGCCATATAGAGCATTTGACCAAAAATCGCGCTCACGCGCATGCGCGCGCGTTTTTTGCGCGTACCAGCATTTTGCAACATAGAATCGCCGTATTTTCTCCGTCATCGTATTTTGTACATTTTTCCAAGCATTTTGATAATTTGTTCACCTTTTAATAACGCAATGAGCGTCCGTCAAAGTTGACAGCACGCGCGGATTTGCGTGATCTTTATCCACAATACATGGGCCAAAAAATGCCTATACAAAATTCATTGTAACTCTTCAGAATAGATAGAAACTCCCAATATTCTTTCATATGTGGATAGATTATGAAATGGAAATATGATTTCATGTCTCATTTGACTCTCAATTAACTCATAATGTCATCATAATGGCCTCCAAACTCGAAATTTAAATTTGCATATTATGACGGATGCATATTTTTGGAAAATTGATTGTATCTCTGTAAATATTGATTTTTTTTTCTTCCAAATTTTGATATGTTCTAGCTGAGACAATTTTCTACAAATGTAGTGTACATAATTGTCCAGTTTGACAAAGGTATCATGGCGTATTTTTGCGATTAAAGGAGGCATGTCAATTTTTCACATTTTGCGTGTATTGTCTATGGGACATGACTATTTCTCAAAACTGCATTCTACATTTCCGTCTTTCGCGAGCAACATCTCCGTTTTTGTAACGTTGTTTTCCGTGAGTTTTGGATATGTTGTAGCTGAGACAATGAGCTATCTCCAATGTGTACTTCATTTTTCGATCATATGCCGGGATCATGCTCATATTTTACTTGCAAAGTAGGATTTCTGAATTCCATTTTCCGTTTACGTGTAATCGCTATAGGAGATGTTTTGGTATATCGGTAACGCACTTGACTTCCAACCTCGAGATCCCTGGTTCGAGTCCGGGTGTCTCCAAGACTTTTTTTTCTCACTTTTTTTTCCTTTTGACCTTCACTGTACCATCTCCTTTGATTATTTAAACACGTAGATTCGCAAAAAATGTCATAAATAACCCTTTTTACTTTATTATTACCCTATTTTCACTTAATCCACTTCTTTTTGCGTATAATCCCTATGGGAGATGACTTTTTCTAAAATCTGGAGTCTACATTCCTGTCTTTTGCGAGCAATATCGCCGTTATTTCGGCTTAGATTTTGTTGATTTTTGAGTATGTTGTAGCTGAGACTATATGCTATCTAAATCAACCCGCATTTTTTCAATAAGATTTTAGGATCGCGCTCATAATCATGATCATTATCATCATGATCATCATTATCATAATGATGATAATCATTTATCAATTACATTTTCATTTCTTTCAATAAGATAAAATCGTCAAAAGGTGTTCTTCATGATGTAAATTAGAGTCAAATGTGTAACTGGTTACTGCACAGGGTCAAAGGTCATATATTGTTTCAATCTATCTTCCCTAGATCCATGATGATCAAGGAGACGCAATTTAATCTTGACATATGGATAGACCATAATGGGAGAAGCATATAAATGGGAGAAGCAAAATAATATATCGTGTAATGCATTATTCGTTATGTAAACCATTATCATACGTATCACCTAATTCGTCTAAGTGACGAATTAAAGTCTAGTTTCAATTGAAATAATGAACCAATATTGGGATTTTTACACAACATTTTCACAAGCATTGTTCTCTCAAGATTATTTTCTCAAGTGAATGTAATTTTTCATATATGCTTTTGAATGTAATGTGAAAATGCTTTATACTATGAAACTTATTACTGATTTAATAGACTTCTCTGCCTCATCTGTTTTTCAACTCTTTGAATCTACATAAGTCAATATTTTACTCGTGCCGTAACTGTGTCTGTAAATTTCATTTGTATATATTATGGTATTTGTTTTATTTTCTATAATTTTTGTTAATTGCTTAGGTAAACCATATAATGTTAACAAAGTTTTAATAGTCAGGGGTCTACATTGTACAGGCTATAAGCTTCTCAGTAGACCCCTCCGCGTATCTCCATTACTTTGTTGTTCATATTCTCAATCTTTTCATTTTCCCTGTATTTTTTCTCAAATTATTGTTAATATTTGTCATAAACTTGTAAAATATAAATAAATTTAAATAATATTTTGAAATTATAAAAGAATAATACCATTATTGAATTGATTTGAATTGAACACTATAACCGATTTATTCTGTTCGAAAGGGCGAAGAAAAAAGAAGAACTAGCAATACTTTGCTCTTTTATTTATTCCTTCATTTTTCTTTCGGAAATTAGAAACTTCGTTTTGCTATAAAGAGCATCTGTGTACTGTTAACTTACACGATTTTGCTTGTTGTTCTTATTGTTTTTTTTACATTTCAATGAATGAAATATTTTTGTGGTAAAGTACTCCAATTATTGGAAAAATTGATCAATTCATATAAATTAATCAATTCATACTTGATCATCTTAAAAATATAAATCAGTCTCCCGTCGAAAATATACATGATTACCATACAAACTCTATTCCCATGATTTGTATCCGTTTCGATGGATCTATTTCAATTCATATTTTATTCTAGAGTTCCTTTTACCTTGTGTTTATCGTGGAGTGCCGTATCTTCACTCCACGGTGTGGGACATTGACGAATGCACAACCTGTACTTGTGATAACAGCACTACAACATGCGTAATTGAAGCTTGTCAACCGGTATTCTGCGTTGAACCCTTTCAACTGCCAGGAGGATGCTGCTTTATCTGTCCATACAGTAAGTCTTCTGATAGCCCCTTCCCCCACTCCCACCCGCCCTCTCATTAGACCATACCTATGTTGGAATGTGTCGCGAATTCACTAGTAAAATATATAAAAACAAAACAAAAAATAAATGGAAGTAGGATTTAATTGACTTAAAATGCTAGATTGCCTGATACCGGCCTAGTCAATTATTACTGTGTTACGAATCTGGGGTTTCCAAGTTGATCCGGGGGGGGGGGGGGGAAGGAACTTATTGCTATCTCCCTGTATGTTCCTCCCTAGCCCTCCCCCCCCCCCCCAACTTTAAAATCTTCTGTCTGTTTATCTACTTATTTTCTGCTATATTCTCTTATTTCTGTGGACCTCTCTTTTTCAAGTTCTTTTTCAAGTGTTGCGAATGTCTTCAGTTTTTCCTAATGTTTTAACTTTCCCGTTGCACACATACCGTCATTTCGACTGCATTATTACCAAGGTTAAAAATCGGTGTAAGCAATAAACCAATTAAGACCATTCATATAAATGCCAATAGTATAGTTGTCATGGTTATTTTAACACAGTGCTATTTAGTTCATCGTTCATCGATATCTACTTCAGATATTATCTTCATTACTTAACCTCGTTGAGTGGTGATGGCTAGGTGGTAGATCAGTGGTCTCGTAACCGGGAAATCAATGGTTCGAAGCCAAGTCACGGAGTAAGTGCCCTTTGGTACGGTATTGAATGCTCATTAGTAAGTCCCGTACATATACTTTAAATCCTATCTGCACTAGCTTGACCAGGAGGGATTAGACCACTATGCATGGTTCATGATAGGTGGTTATCCCATCAAATCAGCTCTCAATTCACGTTAGAAAAAAGGGATCCTGGGGGACCAACGGATACCGCTTAGGCACTGATTGCTATAAAGAGGGTGGATGTAGCTACAAGTAGTACAGTCCCGCTTCAAGGGGACTTAAAGCCATTGGTCTCGATGACTTACTTACAAGCATACACATGCTGTCTTAGCAGTCAGGTAAAAAACACACCATCAACAATCCATTTTTCATTACCAAATCTTCTGAAAACCATTGACAGCCATCTCATTAGCGAGATTTTTGTCAAACGAGTTTACAGTTGTACATTCCTCGACTGCATGACCGACCAATCGGGTAAATCAAAGCTTTTGCGTTATTCACTCCGTTTTAACGAGAATGAATACATTTTACTTTCCAAATGCCAACAACTCTCCAAATCAATGGCTGAAATTCCGCTCAATCGAATCAACCTTCGTAATAATTTCATTTGCATCACAGACGGGAAATAAGAGAAACAGAATGGCAGAAGTTTGACTTAAATCGGATCAACAATAAGAAAGATATTAATGTTTGAAATATGAGATCACCGAATCTATGCGAATCTAAAATTGGCAATTTGGTCACTGGGTTTTGACTTAGTCGCGGATAACTCTCCCGTTTATCGTGTACAAAATTATGATCAATTTCTGTTTTCTCCTTAGCGCCTTCTCTCTTGGGGCAATACTAACAATATATTATGGATTACATAATTACTAGCACAGGTTCTCTAAAAAGAAATAACGATCTGTTATTTTTTTAGTTCTTCATTTTTTGTGTTGAAGAAATTACCGATTCACCAAATTTGAAGGGCTCATATTTATAGTATAACAACTTCCAAAATATTTAACTTTCTCATCTTTTCTCCAATTTCATTTAAACTTCCACCAGTCTGCTTCTCTCATTTTGTTGCTTTCTTCTAGAGTAGTTTGCAATTATATTTGACTTTCTTTTAATCAAACCTTTGAGCGAGCGTTTTGAAATTGATGTATCAAAATGATATTAGATGAAGCTAAATATTACAAATGATAGCTTGTTTTTAAATTGATGTACTGATGCCATAATTTATTTCTCTCATTATTTCAACGCAGTCTTATTTAATCCAGCCTGCATCTTAACGTATTGGATCTAAAATACCTTCTCGTGTGTACGTGTTAGAATTTAGGAGGTGTTTGGTCAAAAAAATAAAGGGGACATTTAAGGAACTTAACAACCGAAACCCATATGCGAATTTAAATTCAGATGTTCTCTGTAGATTTCCATGGTTAGCGAGTATTCACGGAAAACTACACGCTATACTCTTCATTCTTCAACTTGTTTGATCTGCTCACAACCTTCTCAAACGCTTCGTTTTTCCGTCCTTTCCTTTTCCTTTCTACTTCCATTTTAACTAGTTTTTTGGTGTTCGAAAAACTAAAACAAAAATATCGTTTAAAAGTTTTATAACAAATTATTTCAACTACAATCTCTTTCCTTTCCTTTCTTTAATTCCTCGAAACGCCATTATGAGCGGGTTCCATTTAAGAACGAATATTTTTTCACCAGCCTTTTCCAGTTGGTGTTACCGTAAGCCTCCAATCTTAAAAATGAATATTTTCATACATCTGTTTTCATACACTGGTAGGGAAATTTTATCAAATAGTTCGTTCAAAATAACCGTATTCAGTGCAATACCCAGTTTTATTTACTGGACAAAATTTCTATATTATATATTTTAATCATGTACATGTATCATTTTATATTTTTTATTGACAAAATAAACAAATATTGAGATATTTTTACATATTTCGCAAGCATTGTTCTTTCAAGTGAATGCAATTTTGTATTTATGCTTTTGAACGCATGAGGTATTTCTGAAAAAAATTCTTAATGTGGTGTGTTCAAACCCCTCAGAATCATCATTCTTCGATTTTGAACGATAATATATTTTCAAACTCGTTTTTATCAAATTAATATTAGTGGCCTACTTTATTCAAAAATATCAGATCATCTTCCCATCTCTGCTACATGGTCACCGAAAACTCAAACAAATAAATAATGTATGGAAAGAAATACCCCAGAATATAGAATATTTCAAAAAACGATTTGATCCATAAAAAATGATCACATCTATTTCATCGGACAAACTTACACACTGCATATGATAATTTTGATAAGAATGCTTTTGAATGCAATTGATAATAATTTAAAAACAAAATATACAAACTTATTACTGATTGTATTGACTCTCTTTACTCGTACGGTAAATGTATCTGTAAACGTCATCTGTGTTTATTATGGTGTTTGTTGTTTTAGTTTTCTATTATTCTTGTTAATTTGCTTAATTAGGCTATATAATGTTTGTTTTTTGTAATAGTCAGGGATCTATATATTTCAAGCTATAAGCTTCTCAGTAGACCCCTTCACATATTGCCATTACTTTGATGTTCTCAATCTGTTCATTATTCTCTGTATATCTTCTCAAATCATTGTGAATATTTGTCTTAAACTTGATTAATTTGGGGAATATGTGTAATATGGATAAATTAATGATACTGAGAAATCGTAAATGATATGCATTTCAGCTTTTGAATATAGAGAATTTTCAAAATTAAAACATTATTGAACTGATTTGAATTGAACACTATAACCGATTTATTTTGTTCGAAAGGACGAAGAAAAAGAATAACTAAAAATAATTTCTGTAATTTATTCCTTGACTTTTCTTTCCGATAGTAGAGGAATCCGATGGGCGGGTATCTCAGTTTTCTGTATCACTTAGCAGCGGTGAACCTTTGCTCCCTTGTATATATCATGGAATTCCGTTTCTTCACGCCGAAGTGTGGGATATGGGCCCTTGCAAAACCTGTACGTGTGATAACGGCACCACAACATGCGATATTGAATCGTGTCGACCGGTATTCTGCGCTGAACCCCTTAAACGGCCAGGAGAATGCTGCGCTTCCTGTCCGTACGGTAAGTCTTCTGATAGCCCCCACACGCCCTTTCATGACCACACCTATGTTGGACTGTGTCGCGAAATTCACTATTACAATACATAGATCCAACTAGATTGCCTGATTCCGAGACTCTTCAACTATTACTTTGTTACAAATGTGGGGTTTCCAAGTTAATCGAGAAGGGGAGGGGGGGGGGGGTTAACAAAAAAAATATCCCTATGTCACTATGTGATCTTCTCTAGATCTTTTTTTTTCTTCTACTTTTCTCTCTTTATATTTGCTTTTTTTCTGTTGTGTTCTCATCTTTTCGTTGGCCTCTCTTTTTCAAGGGCACGTCATCTTCAATTCCCGAAGTGATGCGTATATGTTGTGTGTTCTCCAAACGTCTAACGTTCACGTCGCACACGTGTCGTCATTTCATCTGCGTTGTTATTAGGGTTTAGCAATTAGCCAAAGACCATTCCATGGGCGCAATGCTTATTTTGTAAAATCTCACATTCCTACACCAAAGAGGCGCAAATTGCCGAAGTGATGCGTATATGTTGTGTGTTCTCCAAACGTCTAACGTTCACGTCGCACACGTGTCGTCATTTCATCTGCGTTGTTATTAGGGTTTAGCAATTAGCCAAAGACCATTCCATGGGCGCAATGCTTATTTTGTAAAATCTCACATTCCTACACCAAAGAGGCGCAAATTGCGCTCTGCTTCATTATTACGTCACTAATGATGCCTCTTCTGCAACATGCATATACAACTGAATACAGTTGCTCACTCATATTAGACATGCCAAATTTAAATGTTTCAACATCTAACGTATTTTCATTCCCCCCTCTTTTTTTCGTATCAAGATAATTATAAACTAGTCATCAAATTCATCTTTTAAATCCTGATTCATTCTAGACGTGACCGTGCGTAAAGTCAAACCTACCATACGGAGTAAAGGCAATGTGACGACAAACGGTGACGCAACACTAGTTCTTGCGGTAGAAGTCAAATTTAAAGATACCAGAAAGACGACAGGAGTGAGCGGCGAATCTCTCTGGGAGTTGTCTGCCTGGATTGCTCCTGTAAACACTACTCACAGGTATGTGCTTGCGACATCCTTAAAGAAACAGAACAAGAGTCTTAAAACCTGAGCCAAAAGAAAGGTGTCTTTTATTACTGTAATATACTTTGGTAACCTTGCTTTCATGTTAAAAAGTATGTTTTGATTATAATAATTATTGCAAAATTATGTCCTGAAGTATGTTAAACTTAAACCTATGGGCATTTTACTTTCCTTCGTAAATTACTTGATAGACATACGCCCACAATCTACAATTTCCTCATAAATCCGCCAGGCGTGTCTGTTTTGACAGACATGGCGCATTACAAATGTTAACTATTATTATTATATAGTATTCCCTAATCTATTCATAAGTCTAATTCTAAAATCTGTATTATAGGCTCATCAACACTTTATTCATGAAATCGATGTTTAATTTATACGTTGATTTAATTATGTTATCTATTATATTTTGTTAACATGGAATCTTGTCTGCAATTACTTTGTAAGATACTTTATTTGTTTGCTTTATTAAAGATAAACTCCAGTTCTGGTAAAAACAATAATTAATTATCACAGAATCAAACGAAACTGCCACTGAATGTTCAAAATTACAAAGAAATGACATGTGCCAAACAATTTTGGAAGAAAATGTATACTGGCTGAGTAATGATCATAGAAAGACAAGAAAATCAAGGTAGTACTAGCCCTGACACCATGTGTATTGTCCCATATATAGCTTTCTGTGTACAGTGCTGGTTACTTTACCAAGACTCGGCCAAATTTATTATGATTTTGATGAATCCAGAACCTTGCAGTGCATACCAATACTTACATGCTGCATGATCAACTGTTTCTGATCCATTCCACACCTTTTCTTTCACAATGCAATCGCATTATTATTTGCTAGAGAAGTGTATTTGTTTAGTTATTTTATTTAATTTATTGATAACTTTATTGATTAAATCATTAGTAAATCCATCTTTTATTAATCTATTTATCTATCTTTTCATTTGTATATTATTCATTTATTTATTTGTTTATTAATTAACTGTTTATGGTTTGGTGTCACCTGAGCCTGGGATGGGAAATGCGAGCTTAATCAATGTGATCCTCGCTGACATCAGGCGTGTGGATGCATGCAACCAGCTCATATACCAGTGATACAGTCAGTATGTAAATTATTCGTTCTGCATTCACTTTGTTCTCTCTCAGTAACACGAGGCTGGATTTCACCAAGCAAGTTCTCAATATTGATCAAGCATCGCAGGGGTACATCAAAGGAGATCAATTCATCTTTCGGGACGTCGTGTATCCCTCCAGTGCTCTGCTTTTAAACTGCGACGAGGCAAACGTCTGTGTTGAGCTTAAACGTGGAAAAAATGCAGTAGCAACCGATGATCGTCCTTTCAATGTTAGCAGTTTTCCCAAAAGGTCTACATCGTTGATTGGCTGCACTTCACTATGTACTGGTAAGAAGTAGGCCAAGCTACGGGGGCCCAAGTTGAAGAGGCGACTGACAGGGAACGAGGGGGAGGGGGGGGGGGGAACACAAGAATTATTGGTCATCATTAGGTGGGCTGAATAACCCCGGAAGCAGTATTAAATTCACTTAAATCTGCTAAATTTTGCCTGATTTCGGGATTCTTCAACTATTACTTGTTTCAAATTTGGGGTTTTCAAGTTGATCGGGAGAGGGAGGAGCACGAAAAAGTCCTTATTTTTCTGGCGCTCTTGTCTAACATCTTTATTCCTATTCTTCTATTTTATATCTGCTTATTTTCTGCTATCTTTTCTTTTTTTCATTGGCGTCTATTTTGTATGGGTACATCTCCTTCTTTTTCTTTGCCAAAGTGCTAAGTATGTGTTGTGTGTTTTTCCAAATGTCTAATTTTCCCGTTGCTCTAGTGTCGTCATTTCGACTGCGTTATTACTGATGTTAGCCGAATTGGCCAAAGGACATGCATATTAATGTCAGGGGCGCACTTTATTATGTTGTCACTGTCACATTGCTCCGCCAATCACGGCGCAAAATGCGTGCTGACACAGTATTACGTCACTATTGACGTCTCTTTTAAAATAGGGATATCAAACTGAATAATGTGACTCATATCAGACATGCCAAACTCAAATGTTTTGGCATCCTCCATTCCCCCTTTACCCTTATTCTTTCGTATCATGATCATTATAAACAAGTCATGAAATCTATTTCTTAAATCCTGATTCATACCAGACGTGACAGTGCGTAATGTCAACCCTACCATTCAAAGTCAACGTAGTGTGACATCTGACGGTGACGCAACAATAGTTCTTGCAGTAGAAGTCAAATTTAGAGATGCAAGAAGTACGACAGTGCAAGGCAAATCTCTCTGGAAGTTGTCTGCCTGGATTGCTCATAAGAAAAAGAATAAAAGGTAGGTGCTTTCGACATCCTCACAGAAACAGACGAAAGGTCATAAAACATGCACCAAAAAATTACGTTTCTTTTATTTCTGTTATATACTTGGTATTGGCTATTTACAATAGTACCTTCTATATGCTTCAATTCATACGTGTATATTGAATGTACGCAGAAGCGGCCCTCTCGGGAGTTGGCAGAGGCCACAGCGCCCCCCCCCCCCACTTTTTCAATCACCCCAAAAATGCCCCTTTTTACATATATAGGAAAAGTGCCTCTTTAACCTTTTAAGAAGTGCCACTTTTAACATAGGAATAGTGCCCCTTTTACTTTGACAAGTGCACCTATTAATTTGTAAAAGTGCCCCTTCCCCTTTTCAACTCTGATCAGTGCTCCTTTTATTTGGACACGTGCCCTTTTTCCTTCGACAAGTTCACATTTCCCTTTGTAATAAGTGTTCATTTTGCATTTTCATTAGTGCCCTTTTTAATATCTAGTAAGTGCCCCTAGTTAGGTATGAGAAATACCTTTTTCACTTCTGATGTGCCCCCTTCACCTCTGATAATTGACCTATTCAAATCTGAGAGGTACGTGCCTTATTTACTTTGACAGGTGCTCCTTTTCCTTTGTTAGAAGGGACCCGTCCCCTTTTAATAACTACCCCCATTTTAACTCGGATAAGCGCACCTTATATTTTCACATGTGCCCTTTTTCCTTTCCAATAAGTGCCCTATTTTCTAATGATAAGTTTCCTATTAAAAAGAGCCTCTTCCCCTTCTCATAAGTGCCCCTTCTCTGGTAAATGGTCCTTTTCGGGTACGAGAAGTAACTCTTTTTTCACTTCTGTTATGTGCCCCCTTAAACTCCGATAAATGCCCCTTTCAAATCTGATCGGTGCCCATTTTCTTTTAACTAATGCACATTTTCCTTTATTAGTGCCCCTTTTTCATTCACATAAGTGCCCTTTTCATATCTGGTCATTGTCTTTTTCAGATGCGATAAGTGCCTCTTTTCACCTCTGATAATTTCCCTTTTAACAATATATGATAATATCTTATAAATGCCCCTATCAAAATCTGATGGGGCCCCTTTTCCGTCGACAAATGCCCATTTCCTATTCTCATGATTGAGATTGACTTTTTTCATTCTTGGTGAGTGTCTCTTTTTGAGGGTGTAAGAAGTGCCCCATTTTCACCTCTATTAGGTACTCTTTGTACTTTGACACATGCTCCTCTTTTTTTCCTGATAACTGTCCCCTTTTCCTTTCATCATTAAACGCGCCCTAGCTAATTTCAAACAATTAAGAGCAATTTCCCACAAAGCTCGCTCGCTACGCTCGCATGCATCTATAGATGATATAATTATGTAACATATCAAAGGTCTTTTCAGCCTTCCGATATGAGAATATACTTATAACCCCATTAGGATTGTGTTTTTTTTCCTGTTTATAAAATGTATTTTTTTCGCACTGCAACCTCACACATCTTAATTGTTTTCCTCGCTCGCTTCGCTCGCTCACAAACATTGTTTTTTTAGAAAATCAAATCAAACTGCAAAGCATGATGCTTGTAGGGTGTATAAAGTGAAACAAATATTGAAATCATCCCTGATGTCTAAAACAATGGATATTTTTGCTTTGACATTTACGTTTGTAGGTGCCCTTTTTCTAGGAAGTGCCCTTTTTTATTGGTGCCCCCCACACTTTGGAAGTCGCTTGGCCGCCTTGAGTGTATGTTACATTGGTCTTGATTTGAAAATGATGTTAAAATTATATTATAGCAAAATTGTGACATAAGTTGCAAAATCATAAGGACAGAAACTCGGGGATGAAGGTCATTATTGTCGCTTATCATCATTGCTGTGATCCTCGCGGAAATCAAGTCAGTGTATGCATGCAACCAGCTTATATACGAAGTAATAAAAGTCTGTATATTAACTGTTCATTTTGCATTCACTTTGGTCACTCTCATTCACACCAGGATAGGTTTCACCGAGCAAGTTCTCAATGTTGATCAAGCATCGCAGTGGTACATCAAAGGAAATCAATTCATCTTTCGGGACGTCGTGTATACATTCGTTGATCCGTCTTTAAACTGCGACGATGCCAACGTCTGTGTTGAGCTTAAACGTGGAAGAAATGCAGTGACAACTGATGATCGTCTTTTCAATATAAGCAGTGATCCAGACAGCTCTACACCGTTTATTGGCTGCACTTCACTGTGTACTGGTAGGAAGTAGGCCAAGCTATGAAGGCCCAGGGACCAGGGTAGAGAGGCGACTGGCAGGGAAGAGGGGGGCATCAGGCTTATCGGGTGGGCTAAATAGTCGGACTTAACTATACCATTAGTGTTAACTTTTTTTATTACGGCATGAGCGGTTCTACATTAAAATTTGAGGAGGGTGTAATGTGGTGGAGGCTTGGGGTTCTTGCATTTATTTTCTATACTTTTTTTCGGAGGAAATTCGAAACCCCTACAGATTATGATATTCACTAAATGATTTCGACAGAATAATGTTAAAATTAATTCTTAATCAGAAAAATTCAAGATGTCTGTGTTTTGAATTTCTTTGAGGAAACTTTTTTTTAAGACCAACCATTTCCGCAAAAAAGACCAGTTCGTAGTTTCCATATATCAATAATAATAATAATCCCAAATATCCACAGATCTTTTACCAATGGAGTAGTCCCACTTCGTGCAATTAAGAATAATCCCCGCAAGAGTAATAGATTTACTTCATGAATACATTTTGATTGCTGTGTTGAAAAGAATAATTCCACCAGTGTTCCATATAATTTCATGTCAGTGCATAAACGAATGATTACTACATAACTTTCTTCAATGTTGGTACAAATCACATTAATCTGCCAATGCGCATATCTTATCTACCAACTGGCTTATTGCTCTGTAAATTACATATTTGCAAGGTCGCCATACCTCAAATAGGAGTAAGAGTAAAGCCTTTCAACAAAATGGGTTTATTTTATCTCACATTTGGTAATTCAAATCGATCAGGAAGACCAGTGGTGGATTCAGGGGGCACCGGAGAAACGCGTGCCCCTCCTCCTCCCCGAGTGAAGAAAGAAAAATAATAGAAGAGAGTCATGGGTCGATAACTATTTGTTGGTGTGGCTGCAGATAGGACACTGCTATGAAGTTAATATTTTACATATATGATATATACACTGTCGGTCATATAGTTGGAATATTTTTGTTTTACCCCAATTTATGGAAATATTTAAAAAATAATTTGAAAATAATAGATCTAGATGATAGTATACATTCTCAGATTTTATTGAATAATAATTTGACAATGTGTGTTTTGCGTGACTGCTAAAGCAGGTGTATGCTACTATGCTGATCTAAAGTATGGAACCTACGCCCTCAAGTCATAAATGACAGCAATGAGGATTAATGCCCCACAAAAGGGCACTAATATAGCACATCGACACGGTTTTGATCCTGGGGCCTCACAGTTACGAGGCCATTGCTTTGTAGGAGCAGTTTCCATAAATAAAAATAAAACAGAAAATGCAATAAATTTTCAATAATTACTATTGAGAGAGCCAAAGTGGGTTTGACATTTAGGGCAGTTTAGTCAGATTGCTTTGGAGATCTCGAGAGGATCAGACTTATCTGAACTTGATCTGATCTTAGAGTGAATGAAGGGTGTGGGCCGCGAAGGTGAATGTTACAGCCACAGGCTATATGCGTGCTGCTGCTGGCATTGCAGACTTTCCCTATATTATGGGACCAGGCAAAGACCTCGCCTCATCTTGACTCATTGTTTGGACATCTGAAAGCTGGGCTCGCAGCCATAACCCTATGCACACATCAATGGACATCAGGCGCGTACGCAGGGGGTGGTTTTGGGGTTAAACCCCCCTCGAGTTTTTTTTTATGTGTATGTTTTTTGTATGTTATTTTGGAAAACCCTCCCCTTTTGGTTTTTTATTATTTTTATTTTTTAAATAAATAATAATAATTAAAAAAAAAAAATAATAATAAAAAAATTGCCAATAGGTGACCTTAAAAAGGTGACCTTACCCCCCCCAACAACTGGACAAAATGTCAAATTTTCAAATATCGAGACCCCCCCCCCCAAAAAAAAAAAAGTGTCCTCTTACCTCCCCCCCCCCCCCCACCCCCCTCCGCTTATTCAGTGGCTGGCTGAGTCGTTGCGATTTTTTTGGGACTCGTAAAAAAAAAAGTGTACGCTTACCCCCCCCCCCCCCCCAAATCATTTTATTTTGTCACTTATTTGCGTGTACACTTATATTGAGCAGATGGCTCTTAATTAAATCTATGTACACTATTTTTTACTCGTGAAGTTGCTTGGTTATTTTCTTGTGATACGTAATCATTTCATCAGAACCTAATTTATCGTCAGACTCTAGTAATTAATTGTACTTAAATCTGACAGTGCTTAACAATGGCGAGCTGATCACACATTACAAGCGCCAAACATTGAATCTGACCTGCTCCAGCCCGTTGCTTGAATGATGTCACGGTGAACCTCATGCGAGGACTCTGTTGTTTGGAACCAGTAGACTGAACGACGAGTGAATGTGGACGTTAGCACTTCATTTTTGTTTCTTAAGGAATAGATTCATTCAGTTTAGGCGAGGCGTCAAAAATAAATATACCAGCCAGCGGCAGCTAACTGCACTTGTGCGTCCTGGCTGCATTTTTTAAATTAGCTCAGCCGGCTACCGCTGGCGGTAGGAAATGGCATTCAAAAGCATGCGCCGGCTGCCGCCTTTCGAAATGGAAACCGAGCCTCAGATCCCAGCCTGGCGCAAGCCGGCTGGGCTAATAAGTGAAAAATAATTGCCCCAGCCGGGCTTCAGCCGTAATTGCAGCCTCAATGCGCCAATACGTGAGGCGGCAGCCTGCTGGTATCGATATTTTTGACGCCTCGCCTTAGGGGATTTGTTATATGAACCATATTTGGTCTTTTGTTTTGATATTTCACGATGATAAAAAGTAGGGAGGTATGCGAATTGCACAATATTCCATCGTAGAGCTTGGATTTTAAATGATTTGTTATTTCCATCTTTGCATGTATTTCAACAAAATTACAATTTTATTCTAAACATGATATCATTTAAGTGTGAAGTATGTTTTTTAACATGATTGTATTATTATATCCTCTATACCAATATCGCCTTCATTTTTACCAAGATAAATTTATGTAATCAAAATTACGTTTTATATCGATGCAACAAATTGGTAACAAATTGCTGTATTTGCTATTTTTGCTTGTTTCACGTTGTATATCATCATATGTCAAGGCCTTCTTGCCCACGTATTAAATACGTTCTTCACCATTACAACCACTTCAATCAAATGTTAGTTTTATTTACGGGAACCTATAATCTACAAGCTGAGCTTTTTAATAGGTTCCTCACATTTCACCCTGTATAACCTTCTTTTCAATACAATTAATTTTGACGTCTTTTCAAAGAATTAATTATATAATGTGACACTTTTAGTATATTTTACATTATGTTCTAATCTTGTCAATTATGTGAATTCTTTTGTAAAACAATTACTTGAAACTTGAAACTTGAAAGCATTATGATATATCTGAATAAAATGACAGAGAGATGAGGTTACTGAAAGCGATTTCGCAAGAAATTGAGATTTTTGTTTGGCTCTTAGAAAGAGGAGAACATTAAGTGAGCAGAAGAGAGGGAAAAGATTGATGATTGATAAAGTAGAAAGAGATAGGGAGTCAGAAAGGAAGCGAAATATGACCTGAAAAGATCTTAGATCTTAGATTTAAGATTTGTATTTAGAATCCAACCTTAGGTTTTAGTTGCAATAGAGAACTAATGATAACGTATGAAGAGAGTTGGAAAGAGAATTGAAAGAAACGTCGAAGAAGAGTTGATGAGATATAGAAACGACGATGAACAGAAATTCGTCATTTATGTAAACGAGTAATAACTGTTCAGGTTAAACCGACAGTAAAAGAAGACTTGTCCTAGCATGAGAAAATAATATTTCCTTAAATATCGGAAATAAGCTCTGTTATTCTTCTGTATTGTTGTATGTTGGAGGCTTGGCGAATAAGACCGGTCGATCAATCAATCAATCAATACAGCTGCTTCAAAAACCACAGGAGCATCCGAACTACGACGAACCCATTTCCCCGGGTTCAAGATTGATCTCCCTATGACAGAATAATGTTAAAGGTATTTTTGTGTGCACCTTAGCGCTATTTATAATAATTATACATATAGACATATAGACTGCTTCGGCATTGTAATAAAAAGTAATACATATGCTTGTAACTTCAGAAGCTACGCTCATGGAGTATAAAACAACGACAACAACAACGGGATACTTACTATTAAATAAACATGTAAAGCTTAAAAACGATCACAACGATCTCAATGTATAAAACAAGCAGATTCAACAGACAAATTCAAATCCATGTTAAAAACCTACCTTTTTGTTAAATAGCCTTTTTCATTTGCATATGCAGCCCCCTCGATTGTCCACTATCTATTATGTATAACTTAATATTTGGCTGTAATTCCTTCTCTTTCTATTTTTCTTAAGCGCTTAGAGACATATTTTGTGATAAGCGCTGTACAAATGTTGTTAATTATTATTATTATTATTATTAAGACTTTCAACAAAAAAACTCTGGCAATTTCAATAGCCTGTGCCAAATATTAGAATGTTTAAACATGACAATGACATTATTACATAATCATAAACTGATTTCTATAAACGATACGATAGGGGATTCTAGGACACCTACCCCCTGGACATCTACCCTCCCTCCAGTCAACTACCCCTAGGACAACTACTCCCTAGGGCAACCACCCTCAGTAGGGCGACTACCCCGGGACAACTACCCCCTCTGACAACCATCCTCTAGAACAACTACCCCCGGACAACTATCCGAGGGGCAGATGTCCTAGGGTAGTTGTCTTGGGATAGTTGTCCGGGGGTAGTTGTCCTAGGGGGTAGATTTCCGGGGGTAGTCGTCCTAGAGGGTGGTTGCCCTAGGGCAGGCCTTCTCAACTGGCGACGCGCGCGCCACTTGTGGCGCTTGCGGTCAGTGGGAGTGGCGCGCGACTGTTGCAACAACAAAACAAAAAACAGAAAGAAAGAAAATAAATATTTTAGAATTAAATACTCAGCTAAATCAAAAAAGTTGCAGTTGAATTTGAGCCCAAAATGCCTGCTTAACAAATAGTGAGAAAGGGGAATTTATCGTTT